GTTCATCTGGACGTAGCATTTTGTGGGAGAATCATTTCGTCACTCATCCAAGTGACTTCTTTAGTCTCAGCTGACTGCAGGTTTCCCCAATCCTATAAACAGGACATTGCACAGTGACTGAAACTAGCACCACTGAAGGAACAATGGGCTGGGAGGTCATTTCCTTCATTATAATTATACAAATTCTCATGGCCATTGATCAAAGACCACTGATCAATGGCCATGAGTATCATTCACAGAGAGTTGGGGAATGGCTGCAATCACAGCATTGCAAGATGGCGAAAGATGTACCCTTAGGCCCCCTCCTCGATTCAGAGATGGTCTTTCCCTTTTCACATAAATGACTCCGCGCTCAAACCAACGTTCCTCCCTGTCCAGGATGTGTACATCCTCATCATTGAAAGAGTGTCCACTGGCCTGCAGGTGTGAATAGACTGCAAAGTCCTGGTCTGATGAGGTAGCTCTTCTGTGTTGTGCCATCCGCTTCGCCAGAGGTTGTTTGGTTTCCTTGATATATAAATCCTGGCAACCCTCCTGGCACTTAACAGCGTACACTGTGTTACTCTGTTTGTGTCGGGGACCCGATCCTTGGGGTGGACCAGTTTTTGGCGTGTTTTGGGGTTTGAAAATCACAGAGACACACGTTTAGAAAAAATGCGTCTCAACTGTTCTGATACTCCTGACACATATGGGATCACTACGGGTTTTTGCTTAGGCAGCGGTTGTCCTTCTCTCCTGGATCGGCTGGAACTTTCTTTTGGCGCCTTCCCAGCTTTGACATTGACAGCTTTGGATCTCATCTTTAACTTACAGAAGAACTTATAGCCTTCCAAAACACTAAGTAGTGGTTTTAATAGTGCTGTGTTGATACTATATCTTTAAATAAATGTATATTGTGATTATGGCTGTTGGCCTTTGGGGTGGTTTTTTCTGCAGATCATTGTGTAATTAGATCTCTGCTTTCTGATTGGTACTGGGATCTAACCTGGCTTTCTATATTGTGATTGTTGCTTGTCTTAAACTACACTGATGATGGCTTCATTGTTGTGTTTTTGCACTTTAATAAATGCAGTGAAGTATTTTTTTTTCTCAGACTGGGAGCGTTCTCTTTCTTTTCTTGGTTCTCATGTTTAAAGAAAGACGGCGTGAAGCAGCAGAGAGCGCTGGGCCGAGGGCTTGTGAGGCAGAAAACATGTAAAACTACAATAATAGGCGCTGACGTTCACTGTCAACACTCGTTTAATCACAAACGTCTTTATTTTTAACAAACAGAATCATCAGAGAGCAGAAATACAGAGAAACAACATGACTGCGAACACACCGATACAGCTCGCTCTGTGTGTGTGTGTGTGTGTGTGTGTGTGTGTGTGTGTGTGTGTGTGTGTGTGTGTGTGTGTGTGTGTGTGTGTCGAGGTGTGGGTGGAGGGGGTATTAGTCACCAGAAATGGCACAGAGCCGCTCTCTCTCTCTCCCTCTCCCTCTCTCCCAGTAAGTGGGTCACTCCATCTGGAGCAGAATATGGAAAAACAGCAACACAACATTTTCTACCAAACAGCTTAACACACACACACACACACATACAGACACGTAGAAGAAAAAACGCTTGTTTCAGTCTGTCTGAAGTCAAAGTACCAACACTGAAGCGTTAGCCAGTCGGCTGCTTAGGTCAGATATCACTCATTTAGATACTGGATTAGATCTAAAGGGGTTCAAGAGTTTATTCTTTAGATCTCTAAAATGCAAACTAACTATGTGTTAGTTACCTTTTTCATGTATTACATGGATTTTTTTAATCAGTACCTGAACCTAGTTAAAAGCGCACCTTCTGACGGACTGTGGACTAACTTTTACAGTGCTGTGGAAAAGTATTTGCCTCTCTCTAGATTTCATATTTGTGTCACTTAAATGCTTCAGATCATCAAACAAATGTTAATATTAGACAAATATAACCTGAGTAAATGCATAATGCAGTTTTTAAATTTATTAAGAGAAACAACGTTATCCAGACCTACCTGACCCTGTGTGAAAGAGTAGTTGCCCGCAAAACCTAATAACTGGTTGTGCCATCCTTGGCTGCATGAACTACAATCAGGCATTTGTGATAACTGGCAATGAGTTTTTCTCACCGCTGTGGAAGAATTTTGGCACGCTGTTCTTTGCAGAATTGTTTTAATTCAGCTACACCGAGGGGTTTCAAGCATGAACAGCCTGTTTCAGGTCATGCCAAAGCATCTCAATCGGATTTAAGTCTGGACTTTGATGCTGACCTTAACTGAGGAAAATAGGCCTGCAGTTCTTTAGATGGTGTTGTGGGTTCTTTTGTGATCTCCTGGATGAGTCATCAATGCACTGTTGAAGTAATTTTGGTATTCCCACCACTCCTGGGAAGGTTCATCACTGTTCCAGTTTTTCTCCATTTGTGGATAATGGCTTTTGCTGTAATTCTCTAGAGTCCCAAAGCTTTAGAAATGACTTTAATTTTTTAAATTAGGTTGAAATTTCTAAAACAAACGAGGACCTCCTGTAGTACTTTAGAAAAGCTGTTGTACCTCTAAATTTCCAATAAGGTGTTTTACTTTCTGAGGGCATTGCCACCGGGTGGTTATCATCTGTAGAGGATTTCTTTTCTCATATATTGAGGTTTCTCACGTGACGTCATCTGTACATATAGAACGAGACACAACCATCAGTTTGGTGCGTGGCTCCTGTAGGTTGCTGGCTGTTGCTGGGTGAAATTGGCTGCAAAGAGCGTGTTTCACCAAAAACCTCATTATGGTCACTGTGGTTGCCTGTAGTTTGCGTAGAAGATACCAGCATGTCCACAAACACAGGCCAGCCACCACCGGGCAGCAGTACTGTAATGCACTTCAAAGCACTTTAACGGTTTTACTGCCACTTTGAGAGTTGCTGGCAAGTTTGTAGACAAATCAACCACAACAATCACAAGGTTTTTCTTCCAACTGATCAAAGAGCGTTTTTACCTAGCGACCAGATTGTTGTAGACAGGTGTTTAGTCCTGAGTGATTGGGGCCTTTTTTATTCATCGTATTTTGTCACCAAGATTGTCACAAGTCCACAATAATATAAACTTGTCCACCACTAGGGGGTCAATGTCTACAAAAGTCCTGTTGTGAAGACAGCAACACCACGTGAGAAACTGGGACTGTTGTAGAGGGCCGTTCAGTTCTAATCAATAATAATTTTCTCGCTTTATGAGCTTTTCACTCCACAACAGTGCCAGTGCGCTGCATTGTCTGCTTTGCTCTAGATGGGAGCACAATTTATGAAATTAACATACTATGAACTTGAAACTACTCATTGAGACCATGACCCCATCAGGAAAATGTTTACTAAGATCATAAATCAAGCGGGAAATTTGCCATTTTAACCAAATTACTTCTTTTTACACCAGATGAGTTATCCCACACTGGGCATTAAAAAATAATGCAGGGTTAACGCTGTAAGGGCATCTGTTACATCATTTTTTTAGTCTTTATACCAAAATGGGTGACAACCTTTGATTAGCAGTTGTGTGAATAACTGGTAGAGAAAAACACTCAGCTGTGCAGCCTCTGTGGAGCTCTGTGTGTTCTTATTGAAGGTGTTATTGTTGGGATTTGAGTCTCCATTTGAGAGTCAACTGAAAGCAGCCAGTTTTTCTGACCGGCCTGTGTGTTTTACTAATAACAGTGTGACTGTATTATTAAAGGATTTCCATAAACACTGTCATTAACACGACTGACTCAGTTTGGCTCTGTCAAAAAACAGACTCCAGCCTTTCTTTCACCTGTTTGGTCAAACTGTAAATGCTACCTTTATTCCTAAGGAGTGCCATCTTTTTTCACTAATACGTTATCTGAATAATTTATTATGAAAACTGCATTTATGAATCAACATTTGTATAAAGATGAGTGTCAGTTCATTCTCGACTAAAACTGACACACAAGAGCATCAAGAGTGTGTCAGTGTCTGACCGAGCTGTTTCACCCCCACGGTTACAGCTCATAGCTAATCATCCTGTTTAGAGGAGCATGCTGACTCCAGATAACATTTGAAGCATTATAAGGAAAAAGTCGAGATATAAATCTTAAGTGCTGTTATTGGTTGCAAGACGAGAAGAAAATGATGATGGGGATGATGGGGATGAACAAACGGTCTAAACAAGCCGCTTCAGTCCTGCTGCTCTGATTCACGGGGAGAGAAATCACTTCATCCTGATGACTCACTGATGAGTTCAACAGGCAAAAAACCCTCCGAAGATAAATAGATGGATACACTGTGTGCTCAAAAGTATATGGACATCCTTGTTCACAACCTCTAACGGATTGGCTGCTCTTTGACAAGGATCTTTTCTTAGATCCTTAACAGTGCTGTAGGGGTCCTAAGGGTGGATTTTGGTGACTGTGGACTTTTCCTGTTTGCTGAGACCACAAAACATTTTTTCTAAACTTTGACTGAGTCCTGTGTTTCCTAAAAGCAACCATAGATTATATGAGTTATGATGGAGCCACTAGTAGTAGATAGATTTTGGACTGCAAAAATGTTTATGAAAGATTCACAGATGTTGGTCAACTCAACACATTTACCTCACTGTATTTATATAAAATTGAATCTTGTTACACTTTCTTTTATAACATTTTTGCTTGTTACGAAGGAGTTCTGCAGGTTTGAGGATTTCAGCATGTCTCAGTCTTCTGCTTCTCTTGAATATCTCAATATACAGTAAATCAAAACTGGGAAACGTAATAGGGAACCATCTGATGTGCAAATTTCCCCAAATTTCTCAACATGAAACTGAAAAAATGTCCCTAAAGGCCACAACAGAGACAACACTCCCTTTACATTTCAATGGATTTGGTACTTTCATTATGTGAACAGAACACCCAAGGACACTATTGTAAAATGAGTGTGATGTGCTTTATCTCTGTCATAAGGCAATCTCCAAAATCCCAGCTGCAAGTGTCTAAAAAAAGAGAGAGAGAGAGAGAGAGAAGCAGCGGTTGAATGTTTCATCACTGGTATATTGACACAAACATCTGAACACAGCAGAACAAAGTGAAGCGTAATTAACACAAACCAATTTATAATAAATAGACACGAAGAGGTTGAACAAATCAGATTGTACATACACACATTTCAGTATATTAATAACAACAACTTTTATACATTTGTACAAAAATAGAATCATTAGAGACATCAAAAGCCTCTCTCAAGTTCAAAAAAATAAATATCTGCTTGACACTTGCCAACAGTATATTTGAGAGTCTCTGATTTGTCAAACACAAAACACGAACTCTAAAAGAAACATCTGTGAGCAGTAAATATTTCTGTCTGTCTTTGCAGTTACATGTTTTTCTGTCTGACAGCTGCAATCTGCAAACGTGATACAGATGCTGATTGGACAGTAAAGCCAGTGCAAAACAGAGTCTGAAATAGAAAGGGTCAATTAGCCTCATGGCTGCAAATGTGATAAAATATCAACCAGCACACTGCATAAACAACAACAGGATTGTTAGGTGAGTAAACAACTGTACGACTAGATTAAAAGCCCAGTCTGTTAACTTTTCACAATATAAATCTGAGGTGCACCCACATCCAAAACTTAGAAAATCCACAACAACGTGTACAGTTATCAATCAACAAGGTACCCTCACATGTAACACAAACTGTGGGCTGTATTCTTTGTATCTTGGAACCAGTTGTGATCTTTTAAATGTCTGTCATAAATCAGCTTTTAAAATCATACAAATTCAGTCAGGCAAAGTTTGGACCTTTGGGCCCACTAATGCCCACTAATCATCCTCAAGACCCCTCCAAACCCCCTAGGGTCCTCTGGAAAGCTATTAAAGACCTCAGGAAGTTTCACAAGGACTGAATTAACCTCTTTATGGACCTCACGGACCCCATCAGAGACCAGAATTTGAATATATACTCAGGGAAACTTGGCAAAATCATCAGTGATTCTCACGTACCTGTGCAATATTCTCAAGAATATTTATACAATTTTAAGGAAATCTGCCTGTCATTAAGAGCCTTCCCTCAAAGTCTACAGTCTAGTACCTTGCAAAATCCCATTAGGGCTCTCAGGATACCTGTTCTAGGAACTTATGAAGGCCCTGGTAGAGGCAAATACCTTGGGGAACTACAACCTATATCTAAGTCCACCAGAATTCATTCTAGTACCTGTACAACCCTTATAATGATCTCACCCCTCCAGCACCTCAGAGTTCTCCCAAAGGCATTATCAGTTTTGTCAAGGCCCTCAGAAATCCCATTAATGACATTGACTTCAGGACCTCAGAGCTGTCTGACCAAGGACAATTATTATCCTCAGACTTCTACCACTACAGACTTTTACAGTGTACTTAAGAAACCTACAAGGTCATTAAGGACATCTCAAAACTTTTCAAGTTCCAGTGTTTGTAGGATTTCTAGGTAAAGCTAAGCTCACCCAAGTATCTCTGGAAGCCCAGAAGGGAGACCAATATGGACCTCGGGATCTGCACCATCTGCAGAGGTTTTCCTATCCCTCCTTAAGGACCTCATTTCTGCAGAAACCTCAATCTTTAGATAAATATACATATGAAGAGCATTATTTTTCATACCTGAATATATCTGAGTGAATTTTCCTCCCTGTATGTTTTAATTACATTTAGAAATGTCCGTTTGACCTTGAATTGAATCTGAAATGTATTCACGAATGCTTTATTCCAGCATCCTCAGATGTATCGTTCTCTTTGTCAAAAAACCTTGGAGGCCCATTACAGCCAGGTGATAAAAGAGATTAAATTCTTTCTATGACAAAAATTTAAGAGTCAACAGAACATGTTTTCAGTCTAATTTTGTGGCACAAATCTATGAATATTTTTTATTTCCATCTATTTTTCCAGCATCAATGGGCTTCTATATAACCTGCTAACAAATGCACCAAATAAACTCACTTACATGAACCATTATTTTTTTTTATAAGATAAAAAGTAAATCAGTAACAACATCAGAATAATGAATATTAGTCAACACTAATTTTCTTGTTTCACAATAGTATGAATATAAAACAGATATGAAACAATTCCTTTTCCATAATAACAGTTCATCATCTGCAGAAAAGTAAACAAAGAGTCAAATACCTTAACTTTTAAAAAAAATAATTAAATTCTTCCAACACGGGATTGTTTTGCACGCGGTCACACAAAGTTAAATGTGAAAACAAAAAGATTTAAATGATTTGGATTCCCTTTGCAAAGTTATACACATTTAAACTTAAAACAAGTGCAGATCTTACTGTGCACTTCCTTTGTTTGTAACTCAAGAAAAATCCCAGCAGATTACTCTGACAATCTTTCAAAAGTATTCATGAACACCAAAACTTGCATGTTTATGTTTGTCCCTCTGGAGCCATTCATTTGCATCTGGAACCATTAGCCTCTTGAATTTTCAAAACTGCCACCATTTTCCAAAATTGCTATTAATTCCAGCGTAGAAAAAAGCAATCTTTATGTGTCGAGAGTATAAAAGGTGGACATAGCGTTCACGTCTGAAGAATGAATCCAATGTGGAAAGACGTTCGAAATTCATCCTTTTTAACATCTACCAGGAAGCATCTGCTCTGGATGCAAAAACATATCCAGTCTGGCAGAAGTCTGAGGAAAAAGGATGTTTGAACTTGACCTCTCTAGACCCTAACCCTAACCCTTGCTGAATATATGAGCTCAGTCGCGGGTTTATCATCACTTTGAATAAATCCAAACATAAGTTAATTGTCTAAACTGTCTAAACTGGTCTTAAAGGAGGATTATTGAATAACAATCTGTAAGTCTTTAGCCAGGGTGTGCATGTGCACATACCGGTTTATGTGTGGTTTCATAGTCAGACCCACCCCATCGTCCGTCACATCTAGTTTCAAAACATTGAAGGCGGCAGTGAAATCTAGATGTGAAATCTTCCTCTAGAGGACTGAAAACAGGACCTCACAAACCAGTAGATGGTAAAAGATGAATACATACACCTTTTATCTTTTGAATTCCACATACTTGCCTTTGGGGAAGTCAAATTTACGCCTTTAAAGCTTCTTAAGAGCTACTTTGTTTCACATTTACAAAATTTTTTACAGTTTCAAACATAAAACACAGGTTAAACTGCAATTGAACTTTCATTAGGACAATGTAGCTAACACTGAAGAGACTGCTGAATATGATCCAAAGAAAGAGAGAGTTAAATGTGTCAGACCTACAGGCGTCACATAAGCTGCACGTGCTGTGCAGGTTGAGAGATTATCCTTCTATAACCTTGATATGCATACTGCAAATGGTAGGCAGGTAGGGGTCAATCCAAGAAATCTAGTTGAAACAAAAGTACCTCAACAATTTATCCCCTGTTCACAAAAATTTTTGGAAAACAAAGTTGAGCTATGATACAAACAAAACTGAGGTGTAATTTAAGAGTGTAATTTTAAAGTGGACTTATATTTGGTCAAATGTGTATCTTTTTGTTTTTTTGCCACATTTGGTGGCCATCATGAATTTTCAAAAGGCTAATGATTACCTGTGAACATTTTGGTACTGATGAAGTACTTCTCTGGGAAAAACATAACTTTAATGTAATTTCTTTCTCAAAACACTTTGAAAAACCTCCATCAACAAATGTGACTTTGTAGGCCAGACTGGAGCTTAAAGAGTGATTAACATAATCAGACTACATACCTTTGCTTTAAAAACAGAGCTGTTGAAGTTGAAAGATATTGTTTGTAAAGAAGCCGGTCTTTAGTTGCATTAACACACTGTTATGAAATTAAAGAGATTAAACTGATAATCAGATTACAAAGCAAAAAAAAAACTAAATAATGCAGCACAGATCATGTTAAATGAAAATGATTAAAGAAAGTTTCTTCTGACCTTGAAAACAGATGTTTGTAAATTATGACAAGAAACCACAGTTACATTTCCTACTCTGTAAATAAAAGTAATCTGATTACATGAAAGAGTTTTTCATTTCATTTCGGTATTTTGATGCTATGATAAATCTTCTCAGCTCGCACTGTAAAAACAATATTTTTTAGATAATTTACTTCATCTGTAACATCTTAAATATGTTTTTAGTGTGAATAAAAAAAACAGAGGTGGAAGGTGTGATGTGTGAAAAATGTTGTGAGCGGTTCATAATAAATGTGGAAATCTGACAGTTTGTTCCACTTGTTAAACAAATGCATTGTGTGGAATCTGAACACTTTAAGTCTCAAATGTTGCCAGGTGTTCTTTAAGAAGTTGTCGTCCGTAATCCAAACCTTGCTTGCATTCTTCCATTTGCTTCCTTTCCAGTCTCCTCTGTAAAGCTCCGCCCCCTTTGGCTAGGTGACAGAGAGTTTCCGGGACTCTGAATGCCGTTAACATCCACCTATCCTTCTGGAGGCGTTGATGACACGAGCCGCTTACTCTCTGCTCGCTCCAACTGAAAGCACAAGCAAAATCTTAAAAGTAAATGGCCTCTTGGCATATTCTCGCGATGTCCCGCCTCCTCAGCAGCTGGAGTCCTCGCTGCCGGTGCCTCCTCCTCCGGCCTTGCTGGCAGCTGATGAGCTTACCGAAATCTGGCAGCCATTTGTGACGTGACTCATGACCTTCTGTTTCAGCTGAGCGACCTGTTCCCGTAGCATAGCGGCGGTGGAGGCCAGGTCCGAGTTCTGGCTCTTCAGGACTTTCACCTTCTCCTCCAGCCGTGAGATGCGCTCCAGCTTCCGCTTGCGACATTTAGATGCGGCAATCCGGTTGCGAAGTTTCTTGCGTTCTGCTTTGATTCGCTCCTGTGTCTCCAGGTCGATTGGCGAGAGCGACGGTGGCGAGGTGGGGTCCCCTGCAGGATGAGGGACCTCAGGGACAGTCTGCGGGGCATCCAGGCCTCGAGGGTGTGGCTGAGGTGCTCCACCTCCACCGTGGCCTGAGCCTCCACCATATGCCATCTGCCCTCCAGAGTATGGCATCTGGCCCGGGTTGTAGCTGCTCAGGTTGGTGTAGATGGGCATATCTCCGCCTGACATCAGATTCCTCTGGTAGGACGCCTGCAGGGAGACACTAGAGGATGAAGGCGGAGACATGGGCCCACCTCCAACCAGCTGGTTCTGCTTGTGAAGGTCTGCCAGCGCCTTGACAAAGCCATCAGCAAATCCTTCTTGCTCGTTGGTGGCCTGGTTGCGGTACATGAAGGGATTGGTGGAGTTTGGCACCGGGCTGGTGGTGACCAGCCCCTGGTTGGACTGAATGATCAGGTGCTCCAGATCTGGGGACGCCAGCTTTAGCAGGTTCATGTCTGCTGAGGATGCTGCAGAGGACGCTGCTGATGTCATCAAGGAGCTGTTGCTAGCCAGCCCCAGGATGTTGGGGTTCCCACCCCTCCCTCCTGCTCCACCACCACTGGGGAAGTGGTGACTTCCTGCCATTGACATGGCTTTCTTACTCATCAGCATCTTGTTTCCCGAGTAGCGCTCGTATTCGGCGATCTGGCTGAAGCCGGGCACAGCGGGGGAGTCATCGTGGTAGAAAGGAGTCTCCATCTTGGCCGTCATTGACAGAGAGGCGTCTCAGAAGAAATCTTCATAATCAGATTAACCTGAATATGAGAGCTGATTGAAACGTTCCACTGACGTCTGCGTCTGGAGGATGAAGGCAAGACGAAGAGAAGAAAAAGAGTTCCTGCAGGAGGAAGAAACATGTCTGTGAGAGGAAGAGGAGGACCAAAACAACAGGACAATCACTACCCCTCACCTCTCATTCTCCTGCTCTGTTTGTGGGTTCATTTCACCCTGAGCTAAGGCTGAAGGAACACAGCCACCTCTAATTTGACAATCATGCTCACCATCTTTTCTATTTCAGAAATGTATTTTCATGACATCAAATATGTGTCTGCATTCACGTCTTCATACTGTTTGTATCCTTGTTTGTTCCTGATTTTACAGACAACATGCCTCACTGCATTATGACTCAGTGATGTTCATCAGAAACAAAAACGTTTTAATAGCACTTGCATATCCAGCTCCAAACTTAACTACACCTTGTTCTGAAAATATGCTCAGTTGTATGGCCTCTAAACTTGACAGATTATTGCTTGTAAATATTTCGTTTACAAAAAAATTGGATTAAAGCTTCTTTTCAGTTGTCTGTGCTATCAAAAAACCAAGAGGTTTAATTTACAAGCAAATTAAAGGCACACGGGTTTTCTAATTGTATGAATAATGAGAAATATGTTCTTCTTATTTTAGTCCTGCTGATTATTTCCAACTACACCCTCCTGCACTGTAGCCAGTCGTCCTTGTTCTACTCTGCAGTCTCTGTGAGCTCAGCACATGAACCAGCTCTCCACCTGTTGCAGGTTCTGGTTAGGGTGATGCTTGAAGTCCCAGCAGAGCAGAACAAAGAAGCCATTGCCAGCTGCAGTCCAGGAGGGTGGAGTTGGAGTCCATCTAAACATGGGATGAGAAACTGAAAGAAATGAAAAACTGTCATATCAGCAACCCAACCAGTGTTTCCCACTAATGTGAGTTCTTCATAGTAACATCTCTAACTGGTCAGCTAACCCTATAGCAATAATATGAGCTGCTAAAATTCTCTAAAAACCAAGAAAAAGTTCTCCTTTACAAGAGGCTACACTGGTGGATTCTTTATGAAAAGAAAGGAGCCCCACAATTCACAACACACAGTGTTCTACACTTTATACTTACAAGCTGCTGATATGTTTCTGACCTCCAACGACAGGCTGTTACACTTAGACCTAAATTCAATATGCTGCTGTAATAAAATCTGTTTCCTTGCAAGTTGTCGCTTTCTGAGAACAGCAAATATTTGTGAGTCTTAATAAAGGCAGTTGGTGCAGTGGGTCATCTCTCCTGGGAGACGGGGGAATATGAGTGGACAGGATGAGCAACTAATGTAACTATGACAAACATTTCCACTTTTAAAAGGCAACAAACGTCTACACTTGGAGGATGATCCTAAAGCAAATCCACCATGATCCTTGCATGGGTCTTCAGTAAGGCTGTTACGGTGTAAAAACTAGAGCTGGCTAAGTAAACGATACAGGATCCTGTCAAAAAACAGTTATTACAGAGTGTCTTACACATCCCTGATTATGTCGAGATTTCCCTCCAAAGGTGAGATTTACAGCTTGTTTAAACTTGTTCACTGGGCTGCTCCACTAGTGAAACCTTTATATGACGAGCACTGATGGTCTGATAGAAAGGAGCAGATGTACTCCTGAGAAGAAAGCTCAACGTTAACATGACCGTTGCTCACTGCAGGAATCCATCATGCTGTAAACATTACAGAGGAGTCTGTTTCAGGTATTTATTGAAGTCTCATTAAATGGACAAGCTGTCGCCTCGTTCTCTTTCAGCAGATTTGCAGACGTGGGTGAAAAAAATGACCGTACATGCGCTCAAGTTTGAAAATCCTGGGATTTCTTGGGCAATTTTTTCCAAACTATAATGTCTGATTGTGTGAAGTGATTTTAGTGAAACTTCACTTTTGAATTGATTGAATACTTTTGTAGTATGCAGTATTTTTTGTAGATGCTTTGTGTGAGCTATTCTACTTGCTGTTATAGGTTTTGTTTGACATTTTGGCTGCTGCTACAGTATTTTATCAACTTTTGGGAAAAATAAAGCATGTCTCATATCCTATGAGTTACTGACTCAGAGAGTCAATTCAGGTCAGTTCAAACTTTACCAGCATGTGTATGGTCGTGTATTTTTAAAGTTTCTATCTCTGCAGCAAGAGGAGCTGAAGCGACTACACGACAGTGAGCTAATTTACTCAGAATCTGACCGGTCTGAATGCCTGCAACAAGATCAGCTGCACTCACTCCTTGAATCGTCTTTGGATGATACACCCAGTCATACCAAAGCTTGGAAAATAACCATTTGTGTTCTAGGATATAAATGTCATAGATTTGAAGAAAACATTGCAAAACCATTTTTTCCCAAACCACAACATTTTCTAAACCTAACTCATTAGCTTTGATAACAAGTGACTTCTTATCAGTAATTAATGATACATTAACGATCACCTAAACTGAGTGTAAAAATCAGTCATGGAATGACCCGACTTGTGGTCTCTGGTGTGAGCAGTGAAATGATTCATTCGACTGAAATTAGGGCTGTTCCTGACATTTAATTTGTGTTTTGTATCAGGAGGGAAACTAACACTAGGAAAACAATGAAAACTGGGCACATTCCAACAGAATGCGGTTAAACATCGGTCGTACAAATACTGCGTGGGAATTTACGAACCATTTGAAATCATTATTCACCTCCCCCAATAATTACTGTTTTAAATGTCACTGAAGAGTGGGAAACTTTGTCTAATGTGTTACGCTGCTCACACGCAATGCTAAATTAATTTGCCGAGCGTTGCTAATGTCAGTATGGCTAGCACATGTGGCTCTCCGTCCTTGCATGCTTCCACGTGCCTTGTGGTTAATGTGGTTTTCATTTTGCTTCAGTTCTTATGTCAGCTTACTCTGACACCACTGATGTCCTGCAAACCCGATCTGGTTGGTGCGGATGCCAAACTTCGCACAATTACATCCTCTTGTCAGAAAAAGGAGGGCCCTCCGTCTGTCAGCGAAGGTCGGCTTTTATCAAAATAATTCACTTAACCAGCTGGCATTTCTGGCACTGACCAGCAAGAGCAGCAAATTTAAAAGTCAAATTTGTCAAATATGTATGTGGACACGATGAAACTGGACAGATAAGATTTAATTTCATTAGATTAGAGTTTGAGGCTATTTCATGAACTGTGTTTAGGGTTGCCAGGTTGGGTTGACAGATGGGTTAGATATATAGATTTCTTGGAGATGGTTTTGAAATAGGAGAGAAAGCTGGGGAATATGAGAGTGCTGGTGGGCATGGATAAACCCTCCAGAGATAATATCAAAGCACGTGTAAGCAGAGGACCATGGATTTATTTATTTATTTTGTTGACAGCAGTTTGAGAGCGTTTTTAGAATATTTTATATTAAATATTAGAGATAAGTGTTGCACCTGTCTGAATGGATTGAAGTCTTTGTATTTTAATGCTTCATTTCTTCTCTCTGTTTATCTGGCTTTACTGTGTGGGTAAAACAACAGTGTGTATTCTATATATAACAAGTGTTGTTGGAGCTTTACCCCTTTCAGTTCTTAACCTCTTCTCCTAGTCCAGAAAGACAGAAACCTCTAGTCTGTTTCCACAAAAGGGCAACACATGGGTCTGAAAATATTTTTTGCTGAAAAGGAAACACAGTGGTCGAGTTTGAGTTACACGGAGAGACAAATAACCAACACAGTGACAAGCGTCACTGTAATTCCTGAATCCTTTTCATGAATAAAAAAAAAGAAATTACAAAAACATCCCCTCTATCCTTTAACCTCAACAATTCAGATGCAGTGTGTGTCATGTGGTGATGAAACTGACCACGAGGCGAGACGCTTGAGGAACTGATTCAGCTCAGGTCCACCGTCACCTCGACTCTTTGCTTCCTTATAATTTAATCAGAGCAGCATATTGAGAAATAAGAGAAAAAACCCTCAGAGTAAGAAACAGCAGTCAAGGTCATGCGTGAGGAAGATCTCCCCACAGGAGAGGAGTGAAAACGTCAGATAGAAGTTAGTGTGATAATCACGGGCTGCACACAGGTGATTATCTGAGCTCAGGTGACTAACAGCAGCCCAGCACGATGAGTCTGAAGCTTACAAAGACAAACAGGCTAATGTGACATTGATGCAACTCTTAAAGTTAAAACAAGGGACAACAGGCATCACTTGATGCTTAAGCTAATGCAAAAACAGCTTAAACATCATGGCTCTGAACATACTGGAACTTCTAAGACTTTGAATTTTTATATTCTATTCTATCAGCTTTTAAAGTATGTCTGGTCTGAGATGTTGAACCAGTAAGAGCGATCTGGTAGGCTCACATGGATGCATATTGTTATGATTATTTAGTGTCTGTAGCATCATTGTCTCCAGACTTTTCAGTCTGGAGGCAACACCTAAAACAAAGTTTTAAAATAAGTGGTAACTGTTTTATTTAACCCAGCCTATAATCTATTTCTCAATCTTGCTGAATAATGATCATATAAAACAAATTTTACGTTCATTATTAATACTGGTAGAAAACATGTGAAGATTATGTGTATGATTTGAACTTGGGTTTGCTCATTTCAGTTTAGTTTTTACTGTAAAAGTTTACTTTTTAAAATTTATTTTATTTATTTTAATTTATTTAATCAGTCTCAGTTTTAGTCTTTTTAATTCTTAATTTGTCTTAAATTATTTATTTTATGCAGGGTTTCTCTCAAGGTTTTAGCAAAGTCAGAATAGACATTACAGCCCGATCTCACGGCAACAAAACATGAAATGGCGACAAAAAAGCAACCTGTTTATTTGTGTTCATGGACACAAACGGTCACGTGTTTTCATGTCAGTCAGTCCACGTGATGAGAACTGGTGTTCAGGGAAAAACAAAGCAAACAGAAAGACGAGAAAATTCATGACCAGAAACAAATCAGTAGATTCGAGACTTTGATTATTTCACAAGCTGTTGGGTAATTACAGTAAAACAGCTTTGTGATGGCAGTTGAGAGTCAAATCTTTAAAAAAAAAAATGCTTGAAAGCATCATCGGGCAGCTTGTGAATCCACATTTTACCAAATTCACAAAAGCGAGAACTACAGATATGTTTTATTTTATTTCAGTTATCCAAAATCATCTCAGCAAAAATATTTTTCCAAATCTCCTTTTTATCTTTATTTCCATCAACAAGAGTGAAATTAGTTAGTTTTTAGATCAGTTTTAGCTTCCTTTACCTTCAACCTGCATAGGTGGAGTTTTTGTCCTTTATTAAAAAGGAACTTCCAAATGACCACAACAGTAGCCTGAAGGTGCTTTATATCATAAGGTAAAGACTACGTTAACTCACAGAATTAAAATGAAAATTAGAATAAAAATTAAAAAAAATATATTAAAAAGTAAAAAGCAAGCAGTTGGTGACAGTGGGAAAGATAAACTAATTTTTAACAGGAAGAAACCTCTGGGAGACCCAGGCTCAGGGAGGAACAGCCAACTGCTGTGATTGGTTGTGGATGAGGGGAAGACATATGAGACCAGACAGATGAAAAACCATATTCAGGAACACAAAAAACCACAGAGGAGCCAGAAAACTACAGATTATAAGATGTGACAGTTTTCACAAACTCATTTTGGTTTTCATTGCACAGCACGTAGTTTGAAACGATGACAGCCTAGTCCTGTCACATGTCATGTAACATTTGAGTGCTACGCCCACAAATACTTTTCCCTTTTTTAAACATTTTCAATCCACACAAAAACACTAAAACATTGTCAAGAGCTCGCCAAAGCAACACATGCCATTGTAACCCTACCCAGATAGAAATGTTAGCTAGTCATAAGCCTTTTGTTTTTCAAAAGCTCTATTTTCAGTTCCTTTAAATCCTGTTTACATTTGGACAAAAGGAAAAAATACACAAGAAAGGTTATACAAAATGCCCATATATGTGTGGACAGGGCTTGAGAGGTCATGCTAGATTAGTCTGAAACTGTCTAAACATGAAGAGGTGGCACGAGAGTGCGACGGCCATCTTCTACATTTATGCCCCAAACTGTTAAGATTGCACTGCCCTTCACATCTAGCTCTGGGCTTCAAAGAGAGTCTGGCAACCATTCACAGCATAAATGGGTGGGGATGGATCTGACTGATAACATTATAAATCCCACCCTGAGAAAATATGTTCACAGCTCGTATGCCATGTGAACTTATTTTGTTTCACTTTTGAGTAAGTGGGCATCGTTTTTCGAGTTTTGCATCTCCAGCTCCAGTATGAACCCACCACTTATTCCACTGTACGAGCTGGGAAAGCACTGGAATACATCAGCATTTCCATGCTTCCTCCCACCTACAGACATTTAACTCCTTCTTCCAGCCCTCGCCTCAATGCTCCTAAACAAAGCAAGGCGCCTTCCCCACTGTCATTGTTAGTTAGTGAGCAGCGTTTAGAAATCTGGACATCCCACTTTCTTTTACAGACAAAGCAGATGTTTCTAGAGCAACGTCACCTACTTCCAAGGTGCATAAAGAAGAGCATTATTCTAAAAAGGTATAGAAATCAGCCAACCTTACACATTCATGTGCATATGCACCAGTAATCCTCGATGTGATTAGTTGTTTTCTGTACATGTCCTATTTAAAATGTTGGCTGTAATCTGTTTTATAGCTGACTGATGAGGTCAGAAATGTGTTGGTCAAACGGTAAAGTTCTTACTACTGCAAGTTAACTTCCTCCACAGAACTCCAGCTAACATTCGAATGTTTCTCAAAACTGGCAGGGAAGCTTTCAACAACACAACACAAACACAACTCTGACTGTCTTTAGTCCAAAAACAACACAACACTTGAGCTGGAAGTGAACGTCAGCTCGAAAACATTAGTTACGCCACTTTAGCTGCAGAAACCAGCAGAAACAGTAGACCTGCTTAATGTCACAATTTAATGAACCACACTGAGAATAAGTAAGTCCAGCTTTAACAATGTGTCTTATTACATGTGATTAACCAACACAGTGGCACAAAGAGGTACAAGACCCAATATGTTTTCACTTTACAGACATTTCCATGCATGTGTAGTCATGCTGTTAAGACAAGATACAGGTCATTATTCCCAAAGGTCAGAAGATCCCTGTGTTACAGCAGCCGAAACATTAAACACAGCCTGCAGCAAGTAGAGTAGTTAAAAAACAAAACAAAACAAAACAAAACAAAAACACTATGACAAAACAAAATAGCTCCATGAGGTAAAAAAGAAAAAAACAGAGGAGCTGTAAAACAGCAAAAAAAAAAAGGAAAAAAAAAGGAGCTCAAAAGATAAAAAATAAAAAACTTTGCAAATTAAAAAAAAAAAGTATAAGAGTATAATAAAATAAAATGGGTCTATACCGTAAATTTGCTCAAAAAAGGGTGTCTGGACCCCGGACCTCTCTTTGCATCTCAGATCAAAAGCACAGTCACAGCTGGAAACTCCCAATCACACCCAACACAGCAGTTTATTATTATTATTATTATTATTATTATTATTATTATTATTATTATTATTAATAATGTTATTATAATTATTATTATTAATGTTATTTGTGGCCAATGAAAATCACTGCCCTCTGCTGGACACACGACTTCCTAAACGACCTCCAGTGCAGTGTTCTTCCTTATTTATCATCCAACATGTTCACATTTTCCACAAACTCTCCCAAATCCGATGGTAACGTAACTACTCAAACTTCATAACTACTTAACTATTTTAATTTTCTACCGCTTGTCACAGCTGCCTCCCCGCTTCTAATCCCAGCACTGTGCGGCGTGTTAGTCAAAAAGCTGATTTTTTTTAAACATAGAATAAAGAAATATGAAGTGCGCAACAGTTCATTAAACCAGCTGCAGCATTCAAACCCTGCTTACATGTTACAGTAGATGTGACAGTGATGAATATAAATCCCAGTAAGCAGTGAAACAGTCGTCATATCACACCGAAGCTCGTTAATAGGAAGGTCAAACACCTTCATCCTCCTCAATGCTGTGTAAGCTATAATTTATAATAACAGGTAGTTTTCAGTACCGACACTCTGATCAGTCCTCTCCTCTCAGGACTTCATCAGGTGAAGTTCCGTCAACTTCAGACCGGGTGAAACCAGCGCGAGGCATCATTAACACTACCATCATCATCCTCCCCCTCCTCATCACCGTCCTAACCGACCGCGGCTCGGTGTCTCATCTAAAAAAGTCCAGCATGACGAGGCTGGGAGGCGATGAGAGCGGGAATAATGTCTGATAAAGGCTGATACTCACAGAGAGACAGGGAGAGCTGCTGAACCATCCGAGAGCAGAGAGACTGACTCAGAGAGAGAGCGAGGAAGAGCGGCTGAAGTCTCTCTCCATCACAAAGTGACTCACTCTGACGCTTTCTGCTCCTTATCTCTCCAACGCGCCTCTAATGAGCGCCTTTATTTATACACTGACATACTTCACACGGGGAACATATATATGTGATATATATGAGCCGTGAAAGGTTGAAAGCCGTGCCTCACAGGTTGGTAAATTGATGGACCCCCGAAAAAGAACCCCCCACACCGACTCTTCCTCTAACGTCCGCTTGAGGATGACTCCCCCTGAATCAGTCCCTTACACTCCCTTACAACCTGATTCTGAGAGGGGTTTGGACTCCACTCTGACCTCACGCATGACCTTTCCTGGACGTAATTTAGCTTTTTTTTTTTTTATCCCCGACATTATCTCACACTTGTCACTTTTAATCTGTCATCTCACATATATAGGTGTACATGTTCACTTATACAAAATTTGATATTTTCTACTTTTGAAATACAAAAGAGGCTCAGCTGTGGAGGCTGGAGGGGTTGGTAGTGGAGTAAATTATTTGACCTTTTTGGTACATAAGAGACCCAAATTGTACAAGTCACAGATGTTTGTGCTTTATTTGATTCATGAATTCAGTTTGATGATTAATGATCCACAGTGTGGTGGCTTACAGGTACGCCTGATCCCGGGAGGAAATCAAACAAACTGAACATGGAAGCAGCTAAAAGTCGCTTTTATTAATAAAAATTACGTCGCTTGGTTAACTTTAGGCATTGAGGACTTGGTTATTCTGATTCAGTAAATTGATGCCTTCTTGCTTTTCCTACACACAATTTGCACGTATGACATAAAACTACACAAATAATACACAACAAATTTGTGCTCACTGTCCTGAAGAATCTGTATAATTAGTTTCTGTGAAAAACAAAACTTTACTTTTTTGTGGACTGTAAGACTGGACTGTAATTACACATCCTTCTAACAACTGTGCAAAGAGTCTTTTTTTATCTGTTACTCATAACTCAGGCTTAGATATATCACACCCACTGATCGACCGGACCAGTCCCACAACTAAAAAGCAAATATTCACAAAAAAAGTCATGAAAAGTAAACTATTGGTTTGTGTTTATGGATTTAAATTGTCAGGTTTCAGTGTAAGTCAACGGGACTGACTCATTCAGAAAGTTGTATATTTTAAAGCGTGTCACAAAGTGTCAGAGTGTCGTTGATGGTTAATTTATTTTTCTTACAGTTAAGTGGAAAAGTGAAAAACCTTAAGCTTTATTTTAACAGTTACTGAAAGATGTTTCAATGATCAGTAGTTCATGCAACAGTAAAAAGTGTGACAGCCAACCCCGGTCCATCCTATATTTATATATATCCCTGCAGGGAATGTGTCGTAACGGCAGCCGTGAAAACAGATTCTTAAGGGAACTGGGAACAGTTACATTTTACAGTTACATAAGAAAGTTGTTTTTAGTGTCTACAAAGTAACTGATTTTAAATTAATAACTTAGTAAAGAAGAATTCAAATGATTTGTGAAAATCTGTCAAATTTTAGAACCAAAACTGGGTCTGTGGTGTGAGCAGCAAAATGATTCCAACCTCCAAATAAGCGTTTTTCACCAGTTAAAAGAGGAAAATATTTATTTTGTGTATGTGGCTATAAACAAGTGCATACATGATTGTGGTCAGGTTGAAAAAAATATGCCAAATACAGAGCAATACAAAAGTGGCCCAGACCAATAAAACCAGAGCATAAAGCTTGTAAAAAAACAAAACAAAACAAAAACTATATATGTTTAGACAGCATATAAAGACATACAAGAATATTCTCATTTTGCGTTTTAAGAAAATCAAGTGCCATTTTACAGTATGTCTCCATGTTTGACAATTTGTTGTTCCACTTTCAGTGAATCTAATAAGTAAAAAAAAACTTATTGTGTTTGGTTTTTCTGTAATTTTCTGACTCTTCGTTGGGCCTGTTGTAGCCTCAGTTTTAGCCAGTTTATGTTACCTCTTCACAGGTGATTCAGTTTCCGTTCTGCAGACTTTGGAGGACGTACATAATTATAACTTTTGTGTATATCAGTTAAGCTATGTGTTTATCTGTGTTTACTTAACTTTTCTTCTTATGCCTCTATAACATCTTTCACCTTTCTGTCATTCAACTAAAAGTTAATTTAACTGAAGAAAGTAAGCAAGTCTGCAAACACCGTTTTAAAGAGTGAGAGTGCTTTGAGGTGTTCATATCCTCTTTAATTTATTTTTAATACTTTTATGCTGCTGTATCTTCTTCCATGAAGGTTTAAATATAATTTTAAAGAATTCTCCACACTGCCGGAAACATCAGTCTGATGTAAAAGCACCAAATTACCTTGAAGTCGAGCGAGGTTACAGTACAGTGGATCAGACCTCTCTGACATCAGTGGGAACAGATGCATTAATCAACAGACAGATTTAATTAAAAATACTATTAAATAATAGATGATAGATGAGTAATGATATGAGATCTGATCATGTTGTGATTTGAAACTGTTTCTGTTGATAAGTAAACATGATTGAGCCTCGCTGTATTCAGCCAACAGCCTAAAGACAAGCTGACAAATAACCACAGTGTGTGTGTGTGTGTGCGTGTGTGTGTGTGTGTGTGTGTGTGTGTGTGTGTGTGTGTGTGAGGACAGATCAGTGTGTTTTACTTGGCAACCAAAGTAATTACTGTTCTTACCGTAGGTGGAGCAGCCAACACACACATACAAAATGTTCAATGCCTGTTCAGAAGATGATGAACTGAGTCTTCCTTCAGCTCAGAGAAGCGTGCTGGAGACCACAACACAAGCATATTTAGATATCTGTAAAAAATAATTGTGAAAAAAGTATTTGCCCCCAGCCTGATTTCTTAGTTTTCTTGTTATTTTAACCAACCTCTTCCAGTGCACCATAGGGCAGCTGTGGCTACAATGTAGCTTACCATCACCAGTGTGTGAATGTGTGTGTGAATGACTGAATGTAGTGTAAAGCGCTTTGGAGTCCTTAGGGACTAAGTAAAGCGCTATACAAATACAGGCCATTTACCATTTAACCTGGCCCTGTGCGAAAGTCTTTACCCTCTTTGTAAAATCACTTTTTAGAAAGCTGAGTTCAAGTTCATTAGCCACACCTATTACTGCGAGACCTGTTGAGCCAAGGAATCACTTAAACAGAACCTGTCTGACAAAGTGAAGCAGGTTAAAAGATATCAAAAAGTAACATGACAGTTTCATTCTACTGTCTAGAAACATCAAAGCCACTCTGGTCAGTCTGGAAAGTGTTACGAAGCAGTTTCTCAGGTTTGGGACTCCATTGAACCATGGTGAGAGCCATCATCTACACATGGAGAAAACCTGGAACAGTGATGAGCCTTCCCTTCTAGGAGCCTACCAACATAATACAAGAGAGCACCAGTGACTCATCCAGGAGGCCACAGGAGAACGCACAACAGCATCGAAAGAACTACTGACCTCACCTGTCTCAGATAAGTTCATGAGTCACCAATAAGACCGGGCAAAAATGGCCTCCATGGGAGAGTTTAAAGAGAAAGCCACTGCACTGCTGTCCAGAAAGAACACAGAGGCTCGTCTCACGTTTGCATCTTGATGATCCCCAAAACTTCTGGGAAAATACTCTGTGGTCTGACGAGACGAAAGCTGAACGACTGAAAGATTGTCAACGACAATCTTTCCTAGCACATTAGAGAGGCCCCTTCACTGTCCACTTTTAAAACACGTCTTAAAACCCATTTTTACTCTTTGGCTTATGACACAGTCTGACCCTGATTTTATTGTTTTAATCTAATGTGCTGATTTTATTGTTTTAAATGTTTTGTTTTTTTGTTTTGTTTTTTTATATATATATATATTTTACCTATCTTATATTATTATTACTATTTTTCTCATTTTTTTAACATGCTCAATGTATCATGTTTGGCATGTCAAGTGTACAGCACTTTGTGTTCAGCTGGTGGCTGACCTGAAAGCGCTATATAAATAAATTGCTTGCTTGCTTGTCTGCTTGATAGATTTGACTGCAGTGACAGAGACTAAAGCTAAAGACACTCCTTGTTTATTTTTATGCCAACATTATCGTTTTACTTTTTTTAAAAACATCTAGCAAGGCCTCCCAGCTTCAGAGTGATTTAGGAAAATTTTCACAACTTAACAAGCAGAGAAGGGATCTAAACTTTTACCTCCAAGATGAGCTGTGGTTTCTATATATGACAGGCTCTCTAACTCTACACATGGCAGACTGAGGCACGACTGAACGTGCAGTAAATCTAGAAGGATGCAGATCATTTGACTTGCCTATGGGGTATTTAAAAGATGTTGCAGTTACTCCCTGGAGCATCTGCTGGTCACGTAGTGATCAAAACCCTCACCAAAGTCGAGCTGTTACACTAAAAACAGGAAAAATTGTCCGCAGAGTGAAACAGATTTCCCTCAGAGGACAGTTGGCTGTTCAGGTCGAGTTCACTGGAATGCAACGAGGGGGAGAAAAAAAAACTCTGAAACATCTGAAAGCGATCAGCGAACATGACATCATCTGAGCAAACAGGCGTGATGACATCATACAGTGCAGGAGATCGGAGAGGAGACTGCAGGAGACGAGGGGGGAAAAGAGGAGGCTGGAAGGGTTAACTCCTCATATTTGAAATGACGTTGACTGTGAAACATCCAAAACAGAGAGTCCGTTTAATCCGCACATGTTTCAAATACAAAAGCATAACAAGTACATAAAAGCTCCAGGCTTCATTACTGTATGGAACAATGAGTGGAAAGATCTGCGTGGGGGACCTTTCAGCACTAACCATGGTGGCCAAAAGTTTATGGGTTCAAAAGTAACTGGACATGATCCAGTGGAGAAAAGAGCTGAGCTCACTGGTGGATTACACATGACTGAGAGACTTGGACTG